AAACTAGGTGGGGTAAGAGTACCCTTAAATCTGATGTTCAGATTGTGAACATCAGTACGAAAAGTGATTTTTCTGTACAGATAAGGCGGCGTTTTGGTTTGTATAATTTTGACATATAAATTAGCAGCATTCAATATCCGTCTATTTTCCATTGTAATCCACCCCGTATCCCGTAACTTATGGGACATTCTATGTCGATTAAGAATGAGATGAGTGGTTGTGTATAACAGCTTTTCCCTAAGATGTCCTGGAGATTTTCCGCTAAGTTATGCTCCAGCCTTTCCGCACAGTACATTAGACACTCTACTAATATGTGTTTTACTAAGAGGTCTGTCTCGCATATATCGCAGGATAGTTTTTGCTTTCCAGTTATTAGATATTCATGAGTGAGCCTTGTATGGCCAAGGCGAAGTCTGGTGATAGCTTTTGATGGCTTCTGACTTTAGTTAAAGTTTTGTAAGGTGTTGAAATGATTTGTTTTATTTCAGCTAGTTTTGAGGGTTTTTGGGACCATACTTATTGCCACGTATCAAGCACTTTGTTTTTTATGAACACTTTGAGGTCGCTGGGTGTTGTTCTTGTTTCTGTCATGGCATCTGCTTGTTGCGCAGCTTCTTTCGCACTTTGATCGGCTTTTTCGTTCCCACTAATGCCGATATGGGATGGAACCCATACTATAGCTACCTGCTTTTGTCTTTGTTGTATTCGAAAGAGCTCACATTTGATAAGTTTAACGATGGGGTGATGGGTATATATTTTCTGTATGGACTGGATGGAGCTCAGAGAGTCGGTTATTATAACGTATTTCGGGTAATCTGTTTGTTGCATATAAGTGAGAGCTTGAAGAATAGAATATAGTTCTCCAGTAAACACGCTCCATGTACTGGGAAGTTTATATTTCATGGTGGTTACTGAAGTGATGACTGCTGCTCCTACTTCTTCATTCATTTTCGAAGAGTCGGTATATATTTGCAGATAGTCTGGATATTTGTCCACATCAATAGGTTTGTTCAAACGTATCAGTGTTTCTTTACATAATTTCAAGGATTCTTTAATTTTTTTTATTTAACATTTCTGACACTTAAGTCAAATTGTAGTCTCAAGTGTTTATAGCACTTTATTGGTATTCATTCAAGATGGATATCTCTGCAACTTAACCCTCAATAAAAGGACTGTACTTCTATTGTCAACTTTCTCAAGACCGTCTATTATATTTCTTCATGGCTATATTCATTCACGAAAATACCAGAGTTGAAAATCATTCAAGCAGTTGTATTGATAAT